TAGATTTTTCTACTTTAGTCAAGTTATTGGCTATTTGGTAAATTTGCTTTAATCTCGCGAGCTTAGCTCTTTTTTCTAATCGCTGCACGCCGAGCACTCTACATAGCTCAGATGGTGAATCACGGGTGCCAAACTTATTAGTAATAAATCTTACAGCGAGCCTCTGCACTTTGCCCAATTTTCGTATGTTAGTTTTTGTGAAGGGGAACGAAACAGGGCTGGCATATTCAAGCACAGGCCGAATAAGTGTCGTGTAGGCCAACAGTTTGGTATCGCGGGAAGCGTATTTTAGTCGCCTTCTTATGCACCACAATTTCGTTAGAGCTTTTTTAGTTACTGCGTCTATGTGCATGCCTTAGTCAAGATCACTTGTGAACGGGACACCCAGGTACTTGAACTCATGGACGTTTTGTATATTGTTTCCGTTTATCTTATAAGAATGATTGAATATGTGTTTCTTTCTACTTATGGACATGGCTACTGTTTTGTCTGTGTTAATAAGCATCTGCCATCCTTTACACCAGTTTGAAATCTTGTCTAACGCGCTTTGTAATTTTAAGTGGTCCGAAGAATTTGTTATTTCAGAATATATTATACAATCGTCAGCAAAGAGTCTAACGTTCATGTCGATGTTATCAGTTATATCATTAATATAGAGCAGGAAGAGAAGAGGGGAAAGCACTGAACCCTGAGGTACTCCTGAACACATGGCCGTATTAGCTGAGCTATTTCCGTTAATTTTCACGAATTGAGATCGTCCAGAGAGGTAGTCCTTAATCCAATTTACAACTTGTCCGTCGCCTAGGATTTTCGTTAACTTGAAAAGTAGTTTATCGTGGGAGACTCTGTCAAACGCTTTTGACAGGTCTAGGAAGATGACATCCACTTGGCTTCTTTGATTTATAACCGAGGAAAAGTCGTGCACGCTTTCAATTAACTGAGTGACGGTTGACAATCCGGATCGAAAACCGTGCTGGCATACACCTAAAACGTTGTTTTCTTCGACAAAAGCAGTGATATGCTTTAGGATAACATGTTCCAATAATTTGCAACATGTTGATGTAAGTGAAATTGGCCTATAGTTTGAAATGCTCTCTCTGCTGCCCGATTTATGAATTGGAATTATTTGAGCTTGCTTCCAGTCGGGGGAATTTTTGATTCTTGCAGCGATTTCCCATATATTAGTGATAAGTATTTTGAGATCCATTCTGCATACCTTATCAGAAATGCGTTCGTAATATTATCTGGCCCGGCACTTTTTTTAGGGTCAAGATTAAGAAGAAGACAGAGTATGCCGGCCTCAGATATTGTTATGTTGCCCACGGTATCTTGTAATTGCCTATCTTTGTAGGGTGGCACAACGCCGTTGTCACGTGTAAAAATTGAAAGGAAATAATCATTGAAGTTGTTAGCCTTGTGCAGGCTATTGACGATTGCTGTATCGTTTGTTACTTTTGCGCGCGGATTTATGTACCTCCAAAATTTATCTGGCGCTGTTCTAATGAGGGAATAAAGAGTTTCGTTGTAAAACTTCTTTTTAGTACACTTTATTTTGCTCCCGAGTTCTTTAGTTAAGTTCGTGATTTGTTCTTGCTTCGATGCACTTTTCCTAATCTTTGTTTGTTTTTGAAGTCTGTTAATTTTCTGCTTGATATGAATAATTTCACGCGTTATCCAAGGATTTCGCTTAGCGGTTCTTTTGACCTTAGTTGGAATATGGGTATTCACACAATGGAAAATTATTGACTTGGAGGAATTCCAAAGGTCATTTGTGGAACTATCCGATCGTAGGGAAAGTTGATAAAAAAGGTCAAAGTGAAAATCGAAACAATCCAGGATGGCTACATCATTAGCACGATTTAAGTCTAAAACTTGAATAACCTAGCTGGTATTTTTTGGCACCGTATCTGGTCTGAGCGAGGCTACCACAATGTCATGGTCAGATATTCTGTCAACGATGTTCACGTCTCGTTCTTTTAAAAAGCAGCCGCTCACGAATATCAGGTCCAGGACACTCTGCGAGGAAGCCTGTGTACGTGTGAAGTCTGACACAATCCGGGTCAACTCATAACTAAAGCAAATATCGCACGTAGGATTTGTTCCGTAAAGGCATGCTAAGGGGTCTTGAGGTTCGGGCCAAATAATTTCAGGCAGGTTGAAATCTCCCGCCAGTATTATTTTATCATTTGGCTGAATGTTCGATTGCATGTACTTATAGAGAATGTAAAAAAAAATTAGCAATTTCGTTTGGAGGCCTGTAAGCAGCACCAACGTACAGGGTGAAGTCATTAAACCAAAGTTTACACCATAATGACTCAATGCCCGTCACGTCCGGCATTGGCGAGGCTTTAAAACACGTTTTGTACAAGATAGCTACCCCTCCGCCGCGTGACTGTCGATCTCTTCTTATTACTGAGTAGTTTGGTATATCAAGCTCGTTATCTTGGATATGCGACGAAAGCCAGGTTTCCGTCACTATCATAGCATCTGGATCGTGAGTCATGGTTATGGCCTCAAATTTTTCCAATTTGTTCAACAGGCTTCTTGCGTTAACATTTAGTATTTTTATTGCAAACTTTTCAGTATCAGCCCTCGGACGCAGTCATTTGTGGGTACTGCTTCCAGGCAGGGGAGTGATGTCGTTTTTGTTTTCATCCCATGCGTACAGTCGGGGACAAAAGTCTCCAGGACACGCGAGCTGCGGCTGAAACGCATCGCTCTGCCATCTGCCGGCGGGTGGCCTGGTTTCGAGATCACAGAAAAGCGCATGCGCGTCCTACTGTGCCTGCCAACATGTGCGTTTTCCCGCTCTTCTGCGGCGCGGCGCCTAACTCGGAATCGGGCGCGTGGTACCGCCTCGGAGATAGCGCTTACTGACATGGCACCTATCAAGCAAGAAGTCACGGCATCTCAACTGAGCGATAAGCTCAACTGGTTATAAAGCAAGGTGCGCTGACACGGCGAGATGCGGCGAAATGCCCCAGGCGGTATCTCGAGTTTCGGAATGTGTAGCAGACGCTCGTCAGCTGCCAGCGCTATCTCCGAGGCGGTACCACGCGCCCGATTCCGAGTTAGGCACTGTGCCGCAGAAGAGCGGGAAAACAGACATGTTTCCAGGCAGAGTACACTCTCAAGAAAAAAGGGTGTCAAAAGGTGTATTCTTACACCCTTTGTCCCATATAATACACCCCAGAATTTCAATTCGACGTGCAGTGCCCTACAGTCGAACAGAGAGCCCGAAATTTTACGAGGGGCTTTATAGCCGTGTGGTATAACATTTTAAATAGCTAAAGTACGTATCAAAGACCACATAAAGAAAACACCGAGTTTTTACAGTAGGGCCAAGAAAACCCGGATTATTTTTTTCGTGTTCCGTAAAACGTACATTAGCTATTTTAATAAGTTGTACCACACGGCTATCAAGCCCCTCGTAAACATTCGGGCCGTCTGTTCGACTGTAGGGCGCTGTATGTCGAATTGAAGTTTGGGGGTGTATTATATGGGACAAAGGGTGTAAGAATACACCTTTTGACACCCTTTTTTCTTGAGAGTGTAGGACGCGCATGCGCTTTTGTGTGATCTCGAAACCAGGCCACCCGCCGGCAGATGGCAGAGCGATGCGTTTCAGCCGCAGCTCGCATGTCCTGGAGACTTTTGTCCCCGACTGTACATTTGGTCATTTATTTTCATTTTGTCGAAGCGTAGAGTTATCTTATCTCCGGACGTTTTGTTTGGTTTCGTTCGCTCCAGCATCTTTTTTCTGACTTCTTGTACGTTTTTCGAAAAGTCTTCGTTTATCGAGAATTTGGTTCCTTTAAGCTTCTGACAGTTTCGTAAGATTTTCATTTTGTCTCGGAAATCTAAAAGTTCCAAAATGACGGGGCGAGGCTTTTCAGGCGAGAATTTACCGATGCGGTAAATTCTTTCGATAGGTACAGGTTGTAGCTGCAAGCGATCTTCTATTCTTTCTTTTCTTACCCTTGCTTCAAGAGTGCTGCTGTCATTGCGTCCAGATTCTTCAATTCCATAAATTATCAAGTTGTTCCTACGACTACGGTTATCTAAGTCGTCATACTTGATTTTGAGGTCGTTTAGACTGGTTTCCAGAGCTTGTACGTTCGCGACGCAAGTATCAAGTTTTTTTTTGCATCATTCCTAGCTCTTTGAGGCTGGCTTCAATATTGTCTAACCTGATCGACGTGGTTTGTTGGGTTGGTTGTCAAAACCCTTGAGCTGTGGCCATCAATACATAGGACAGACCGGCAGATGCACCAATCACAGACTCCGCGAACATCACAACGAAGTTTCTAAGGCCTCTCCAGATTCTTATCATCCCATAGTCATACATGCCCGTTCGTGTTTGCGTTGTCATCCCCTCTTTGGTGACACAAAAATCCTTGGGGGGCATGACAGCAGATTCGGCAGGGAAATCATAGAATCATTCGCCATGACCACAGCAAAAAACAACGTGTCAAACCCTTCCCTCCTGCTGACGAAAACTGAGGTTGAATTTTTAAAAATCGAGATAACCCTACCACCTGAACTTGCACTTGGCGTGTTTTATCTTTCCTTCTCTCCCCTTCTCTCCCCTACTCCTACTGGGTATAGTCAGGTGCTCGCTGTTGAAAGTTTACTCGTCTGTTGCTAGTTGAAAGATGTGGTTGTGTTGTCCCTGTTTTAGTTGTTTATACTTTCTTCATCCATGACATAAGAAATATTCCTACCCAATGTCGTTGCACAGCCCCTTTAAGTTGTTGGGAAGATGAAATGCTTATCAAACCAATGCACAAGGTATATCGGGCCCGGGAATACACAAAATACATTCCCAAGGTTCTAATTAGCGCCCCGTCATATTGTATTATTATGACTTATATTTCCTCTGGGAAGTACACCAATGTCTGCAGTTCAGCTGAACTCCATTTTTATAACAATTTGCGGAGAGCCGAATGCCCCAAAAATCTTCAGGGTGATTTTATGACAGGAGGCAATCACTCTAGGTACTAATTATCAAAGCTATAAAGACTTACGACACACTCGTTTCCATTCACAACAGTTTCATGTTTTCTCTCCGGGCACGTTTTTGTACAATTTACGTACAGGAAACCATTATCCTGGAAATGTAATAATTTGTATTATTTTTAAGAAGGTAACTAAAACAAAAACAAAAAACAGGGAAATTTCATACTTCTAACTTAACGGTAAAATATATAAAAACAAACTCTTGCACCAGAAAACTTAGTGTTCATCAATTTAAAAGTTCATTATCAACAACTAACCAAAATACTTGTAGCTTTCGTCGTCGTTCAATGTAGCTTGCAGTCCTCACCTTCGGCGTTCGTCGTGATCTTCAAAGAAATACTGAGCAGGAGTTCGCAAAGCTTTGCCGTGATACATTTGTTTATGTATGTTCATCATTCTGACTTTTTTATTTATACAACCTTTATAAAACTTTTGCCCACATCCTAAAAACGTTCTATAATAATATGTTTCTAGAAGGAGCTCGGAACTATAATTCCCCTCACCTTAGCATGGACCAACTGCGAAGGCTGTTAGTCCATGCATCGAAAGCTCCACCCCGACTGCATTGAGTGGAGCTTTCGATGCGCGAGCGCTCGTGCAGCCGCCGAGGCTTCATCCCAAGCAAACAGCCCGCGCTTTTGTAGTGCGTGGCTAATAATAGTCTGTGCTAAGGTGACCCGAAGTATAGGAAAGCCTTGACTTCTAGTTTTAACGTGACTACGTCGACAATAAAACTGTTTGTTCATGCCTGCGTCTTTTATATTTACTTACTTATTTTGGTAGTCAATTTTATGTGCTCTCGAGCAAACGAGATAGAACATAAAACCAAGCGCTTGCGCCGATAACCTTGAGCACGTTGTACCATAACCTCCTCTATACCCACAAAGCCTGGCAGTTCGACGACGGAGCCATAGAGTGCCCGGTCGCAGATTTGGATCGCGAGGATCTGGTAGCACAGAGCATTTCTTGGGGAACTTGGACGTCCGCGCGCAGCTTTTGCAGCGGCGAGGGCCCGAAACATGGTTTTTAAACCCGGCGAGAATGGAAGCGGTAGCGCGAGGATCGCGAGGAGCACGAGCGGCATTCCATCGCTCGGAAGAGGTGTGTCTCGGCGTCTCGCCGCCGCGGGGCGCCCGTCACGTGGCTTTTTCGGGGGAACCGAGGGCCCTGGGGGCACTGAAGTAACCGAAAACCCAACAAAGTCAGGAGAGGCACCCAGGGTTAAAAAGAGGAGAAAACGTAAGAACAAGTATAAACAAACAGCACAATAAGACATTGGATATATTAACATGCAGGGTGGTAGAAATAGGTTAAAATGGGAAGAGGTAGAGGAGCAACTAAGAAAGGAGGATTTAATGGTGTATGGGTTTTTGGAAACACATCTCAGAGACATGGAGCAGCCACCTTCCAACCCTGACTATGTATGGGAAGAATGCAACAGAATGGAAGGAACGAGGAAGGTAGGTGGAATTATAGCATTTATTAAGAAGAATATGAACTTTCAAAGGATCAGAAAAGAGTGCGCCGAACATTTGTGGCTGAAAGGAAAAGTCGCCGGGGAATCAAAAGTCCTTGGAGTTATTTATTTATGGACAGGGACAGGTGCTAAAGAGGAAAACAAAAAATGATTGATTGCATATCAAGAGACATTAGTGAGCTAGGGAAAGGCTCTGAAATAATTATCATGGGAGACATGAATGCCCATATCGAGGGTCTGGATGAATATACGGACTCAACTGGAAGCATATTTCTAGAACTGCTGGAAAAACATGACTCAGTTTTATGTAATACGACTCACAAGTGTGACGGGCACATAACGTGCAAAACTGGCAATCTACATTCAACTATAGATTACGTACTCATGTCACACAAAATATATGGTAACTTACAAGTAATGAAAATAGATGAAGAGGGTTCCAAACGTCTTGGTAGTGATCACAAACGTATTAAGCTAAATTTTGCCAGAGAAGTAAAGGCTGAAACTAGACAACATATTTCAAAGCAAACTTTCTGCAGCGACAAAGAGTTGGAAATTGTTGCTGAAAGAATAGAGGAAGCAGTTTCAGGGTAACGGTATACAGATTGGACTAATGAGAGCCTAACTAGGCTTTTTGCTTGGAACTAGACAAAGTTCAGAGTAAACGAAAGGGGAAGCAAGGACATAGACCAAAAAGTTGGTGGGACAAAGAAGTGAAGCAAGCGATACAAAAACGTCAGGAAGCCTCTAAAGAACACAGGTATTCCAAGCGTAGTGCGGAGTCAGAAACGGAAGTAAAAAGAAAATGGGACAATTTTATAACATGTCGCCGAGAGCCATCAAGTTTGATCAATGCGAAAATTCAGAGAAAGGGTGAGGAATGGGTGAGTAATGGTAAGTAAGAAAGATAGAAACGCAGCCAAGAAGTTTTGGGAGCACTTGAACTCACTCGGTGAAACGACGGAAACTAGACAGAGGTTCATACTCTCGTATCAGGGAGATTAATTACAGGAAGATGATGCGATACGACATATAGGGCAGCGATGGGTGAGAAATTTCAGAACCGGGTACATGTGGAAGATAGGAGAACCGAAGGAAGTAGCAGTCCAGCTTGTGACGTCGCGGATTTTGGACAAAGAGAATGGGAAAAAGCGGAACGAAGAGTCCCTGTCGAGAGGCAGAAATGGTGTCCCATTAATCAAGCTGGTGAAGATTTTGGGTCCTAAATCTAAGGCAAAACTAAGAAAGCACTATGAAAACAAAAGGAAATATTCCAGATGAATGTAGGCTTAGTAGGATGAGTATGATATATAAGGGAAAGGGAGATAAGTCTGATATTAGGAATTTTCGTCCCATAACCGTAACACCAGTTATATACAGGTAGGTACTACATATTACAAAGAACAGACTGGAGGAATGGGTAGATTGCGAGGGGATACTGGGTGAGTTACAGAACGGGTTTCGGAAACAAAGAAGGTTGGAGGACAATATATTTTCTCTAACAGAGTGTATATAAATAGCGCAAAAAGAAAACAGACAGCTCTGGCTGGCATTTCTGGATATGATGGGTGCCTATGACAATGTGAACCAAAGGAATCTTGAAACATAGTGGAGAGCCTAAACCTAGATGAAGAACTAAGAGCAATATTAAGGAACTTTTACAAAGCTATTAAGGTGATTATGACATGGGAAGGAAAGGCAACGGGGAAAATAAAGATAAGACGAGGCCTTAGGCACGGGTGCCCGTTATCGCCTTTGCTGCTTAAGTTGTATCTGAGAGGATTGGAGGCTAGACTAGAGAAGAGTGGGCTTGGATTCGACCTTTCGTACAGTAAGCTAGGTAAAAAAATTCAGCAATCCTTACCGGGATTGATGTATGCGGATGATATCGTACTAATGGCTAACAACAGGACAGATTTGCAGGAATTTATGAGCATCTGTGGTAGGGAAGGAGAGAAATTAGGTTTAGAATTCAGTAGTGAAAAATCAGCAGTCATTATTTTTAACGATGATGAAGTTGGCAGGCTGAAGATTCAGAATATTACAGTTGGGAGAGCCAGTAAATGCAAGTATCTTATAGTATGGATATGTGATGGTGCAGAATAACTCAGTGAGCATGAAAAGTATATACTAGGTAAGGGCAACAGAAATGCAGCTGTATTGAAAAATAGAGCATTTTGGAAATACAACAGGTATGGGGGGTGACAGAGATTTGGAAAGGCGTCATGGTGCCTGGCTTGACTTTTGGAAACGCAGTGCTATGCATGCAATCCGAACTGCATGCCAGACTAAATATAAAACTGCGCGGAGTAGGCAGGCTGGCTTTGGGGGCACATTGCAAAACGCCAAACCAGGGAGTACAAGGAGACATGAGATTAGCGTCATTTGAGAGCAGGGAAGCGGTGAGCAAGATAGGATTTGAGGATCGGTTGAGGCAAATGGATGGGGAGCAATGGGCACAAAAGGTTTTCAGCTATTTGTACATGAGGAGTATAGACACAAAGTGGAGGCAGCGCACTAGGAAATTAAGATTTAGGCTATAGTGGAGATAATGAAGAGCAGGTCTGAGTTAAGAAGAAAGTTAAGGCCACAGAAAGAGATCGGTGGCTAGAGGGAATGCAGACAAAGACGGTTCTGGAAAGCTATAGATTAAACATAGCAGTTATTGCCAAAGAAAGCATTTATGCCAATTCTAGGCAAGCTCTTGTTTGAGCCAAGGACGGGTGTTCTGCGAACCAGAACGTACAGAGCGAAGTACCGGGAAATAAATACAGTGTGCACTGCTTGTAGAGAGGAGGACGACACGGCTGAGCACTTGGTACTCTACTGTAAAGGGCTTCACCCTACGCCTACCGAAGACAACATAGATTTAACAAAGTCATTGGGTTTTACAGACAGCGAAGGGAGAGTGGATTTCAAGACTGTAGAGATTACCAAGCAAAGATTGAGTGAATGGTGGCAGAAAGCGAGAGAGAACTAGGTATTTTCTTATTAACTGATGGTAAGGGGGTTTTATAGTCTCACTTTGTTTGCAGTGCGGAGTGAATATAGATTTCCCATTTAAATATTCTAAGCTTAAATGGTAAAACAAAATGGCTAGGTGGCGTAAGCTACCGCCCGATCCAAAGGGCTCAGCCGGATTCATCTATACATCCATCGATCCTCTCATCCATTGTCTGCCGCTCTACCTTCTCAATTTCGGCGGGCGCTTCTCGTGACGATCTGCCAGGCTTTGTCAGTATAGAGGAGGCTATGGTTGTACATTATATGTATAGAGTGGAGTATAAGAGTCCTTTATAAAAAAATTGGTTACAGACACCTTATACGCACACATGTGGCAGTGACGTAACGTCGCTGCGGTGGCACTGCTGTTGGCTGAGCGCAAACGCTCTACTTGACGCCGTTCCTGCGAACGCGCAGTGCCCGCACCTAATGCGGAAACTGCACGTTTGCCCACACCTTGTGAGGGCTTGCTTGGAAACAGAGCGTTGGCTTATAGCGTCCTATGACTACTCACCATGTAATTGCAAACCAGGGACAATTGATACGAAAGTGGACGTAAGATCACCATAAGACTATGGCATAGCTTCGTTTTCATATGATAATGAGTTTTAA